GCTGCTGGCTGTTTGACTCCTTGAGATAACTCCTAGACTTTTCTTTCAAGAAAGGCCAATACCGTCTTCCGAAGCTGCTCAGGAGTCATCTTCTCAATTTCTTCCTCCATGTTAACTTCGGCCAATGTCTTGACATAGACATTGGCAAGCTCAGCTCTTTCTTCCTTCTCGGTCTCCAAGACCATATTAACAAACGACCGACGGAGGCGAGCATCTCTCTCTTTACTCATTGGAGGAATGTGAGGATTTTCCATTTGAGCACCAGCAGATTCAAGGAGCCATTTGCAGAACTCCTTCTCATCTTCATCAGCATCAATGTGAGCAGACTCGATCTTGGGATAAAAGTTGTGTTTCTCCAGCTTGCGAAGAAGATAATGTAGCAACTCCTCGATGTCGTAGAGGCCTTCATCAAAATGTTCGATGACCCAGTGGAGATTTATGCAGGTGTTCATCTTTAACTCCCGATCCTCATCCTCAGAATCAGATTCACCTGCCGCTTTCACCCTAATGGCCTCAGCCTCAAGAATTCTTCCAGCTTGGAGACCATCATTGTATTTCAGCTCAGCAAACTTAATTTTCTCCTCCTAAAGTCTGCTGAGGTCAGCGTAGTGGGCATCTCGGCTTTTCAAGAGCAGCTCCTCAGCCTCGGTGCGCTTGTTCCGAGTAAACTCATGATCTTCTTGCTCTTTGCGCAGCAAAATTTCACACCGAGCAAGCTGATCCTCCAGAATCTGAACACGCTCCTCGGATGCAATCACTTGACCCGATAGTCGGAGCACCTCGTTATCAACGACAGCTTTTTCGATTTTTAAAGTCTCAATTTTTCCTTGAGCGATCAAGAACTGCTGATCTTGCTCGGCGACCTTCACTTTCAACGCCGTCTCCTTCGTTGCCGCTTCTTCCTTCAGGGATGCAATGGCTCCATCCCAAAGCTCCAGCGTATGCCTCTTCTCATAAACTTAAGCCGCATTCAGCCTAAAATTATCCTCGGCCATGACTAAACTGACAAGAGCACGACCGAGGCATGCTTTGGCATATTTGAATTTATAGACGCTCGACAAAGAAGATAAACCAATTTCAGCTCTCGGGTCCCACACCATCATTGGGACCCGAGCAGCATCGATAACATCACCTGGCAACTCAACTTTGCTAGAGACCTCGGGAATCTCTACCGACTCGAAAGTTGAGAACCACTTCTCAACTGACTCCCGGGGCTGTTTGAAATTCATCGCCCTCTCCTCATCAATGGGCAAGAAGGATCTATAAACTAATGGCTTCTTCTTCTTCTCACGTTGCCCGACGTCATGCTTTTTCTTAGAACGCCCCTCATCGGCTGGGACACACTCAGCACGTCACTTCCGTCATCGGGTTAGCGCGACCTCCTGCTCTTCGACCGCATCTCGGTCACCCTCAGCTTCATCGGAGACCACCTCGATAATTGGTTGGATCTCCGTTTGAGTAGCTTCAGTAACTGGTTCTGCTCCAGATGAACCAGCAACCGCAGTGGCTACAGCAGCAATTGGGCCAGTAGCTGCTATCGCCAATGGATTTGGCTGCACCACTTCAATTGCGGCTCCCGACGTCGCACCATCACCGACGTCGGCATCCTTGTACATAATCGGGTTCTTCAAAAAGGCTTTCACCAGCTTCTTACGACCCATCTCTGATAGACGGTCTTCTTTACTTTTACCGACTTTGGTTCGGAGCTCAAGGTTTGGGGACTTCTGACGAAAAGCCTTTGTGTATCTGATGTTGTTAAACCCGAGAAATCCAAGAAGTGGATAATACACTGCATTCAAAACAACCCAAGTTAGAATTATTCATATGATTTCCTAACTTCAAGGAAAAAGTTGAAAATATATAATCAGAACATACCTGGTTGAAAGTAAGAATCCGACACGCTAGGACAAAGCTTAACTGCTTCCAGTCGAGAGTTCTTCAAAACAAGCTTGAAGTTACGTTGTTCTTTTGTTAACTTGAACAACTCTGTAATTCTGCTTTTCAACTCGACACCCAGTTTCGGCTCCTTCATTATGCGGGCTGCAAATAGTAAAATTGCTGACCTGTTAGTACAAAAAATAAAGAGTCAGAACAAACTCGGTGCGGAAAGTTAAAATACTTACAATACGCAGAATTAATATTAATTGAGATTGACATCCCATCAATCAAAGGCTTAGAAAAATTTGGAGTTTGCCAATCTCCACCGACCCACAACCACGCCTTTTGGAAACCATGAAGAGAATATGAGATTTCGGTAATCAAATCACCAACTCTCAACCCTCCTTGAGGCTTTCCCGAGCACGCAAAACAGATTAATGGGTCGGTTACTTATCTATCTGCACATCGGCTACTTCTCATCTCTTCGGCTATCGGCATATCCCATCTTTTCTCTTTTAAAAGAACCATGAGACTAATGATTCTTTTCCAACTGTTCGGGGCAATCTGGCATAAACCGAGACCCCAATCTCTTAAATAATCGGTGATTAACTCTGGAAGTGGAAATCTTAGCTCCGACCTCAGAGAATCGGCAAACACGCCAACACATCCTGGTGGGGGACATGTGATCCTCTCTCCGGGATAAGGTGCAAATAATCTGACAATCGAGGGAATTTCAATTTTCTCTCGCAAAATCACGATATCAACATCAGTTAATATGCTCGGTTCACCTCGGTTCTCATCAATACGCTCAGGCCACCGACGAGCTGGGCGTCTCCAATATTCTGCCAGAGACATAGCGTTCTCTTCCATCTTCTTATCTTCCTCAACTATATCTTTATTCAAGTTGAGCCTTTCAACAAATAAGGGATCCCATCGATAATATTCGAGAGGCAATTCCAAATCCTCGTCATGGAATATTTTATTTTCTGAAATCATACGACTACTGCTAACCACGGCTTGCGAAACCATTTTTCCGAGATTGATGAAAAGAAAGAAAAGCAAATTCTAAATCGACGAACACCAAAAAAACAAATTAGAGCAAACACTTACCAAGAATTCAAGAGCCCTAAATTGAGGAAGATGCAAGAGTGATCGCGCAAAATGAATATCTAAAGAAAATTCGAAGAATTTCAGAAATAGAAAGTCAGAATAGAAGATGAAGAATTCGAGAATTGAAGGTAAAAGACTCTTCACAGTCAAAACCGACCACAATTTATAGGTTTTGATTTATGACCGTTGAACAATCCGGAATCAGCGCGTGTAATGGACGTGTCCTTAAACGGCGTAACGTTACAGTAATCATTAATATATGTGGGATAGTCTCAAAACGCCATGTCATCCCACTATTCTGTCTGTTACACCCATTAAATGTAGACACGTCTTTTAAGGACCGCCATGTCAACAGAGTCGTTATGCAATATTACTTCTCTATCAGCAAAGAGGCAAGCGACAACACAAAGTGTTCGCATGTCGGTTACCAAGTAAAAAGAAGTCGGGGAATAATCAAGTCGGAATTATTGGAAATACTGACAACATCAGCAGCCATTTTGAAGCTCAAATACCTACTAATGTCGGGGGCCTCTCTGTTGATGACCGACTTGATTTCTTATGCTTAATTAAAGACCGATCATCTTATCTCTTTAATGGCCCTTTAGAAATTATTTTTTAACAGTCAAACTTAGCTCAAGTCGGAACAGTTGAACAACTACTGACTTCTGGATAACTAAAGAGAACCGATTGATCGACTTCACTGACTTCGCAGACATTTGTATTGAAGATTATCCATTTATCCGAGATCTGAGAAGATTTTCCAAGCAGGAGCGCTGTACACTTCTAATTGGGCCATCAAGTTAAAGAATAATCAATGATGTTTTCTCATTACATAACACGCCGCTTTATTGAAGCAGCTCAACATCAAATGCGATCTAATCTACCTCGAACAAGAAGACAAAACAACCGTACTATAAATAACAGAATTTATGATTGTACGAGGATCTTTTTTCGCACATTGTATACGGACTATAAAACATCTCGATTATGAACGAAAAACCGACTTCCTGTACTCTCGTGAAACAATCAATAAAATACAAATTTATACTTATCTCTTTTTAAATACACCTTCCTGTTTGTTAATTTGAGTTGTTAAATTTCATACAACAACAAGTATGAAGCAAAATCAGACATTAAAAACTATAATATTATGTTGACAATAATAATGATTATTATATTAAACATAATGATGAATCATTAAATAACAAAATCAAAGACGACATAGATTTCTTTAAAAGTTTCACAAAAAAATATTAATTTTATTTTAAATTTTCGACCCAACATTTTTTTATTAAATTTTAATTAACAAGAGTTTGGTTAATAGTATTAAGTATTATATCTTATAGATCAATATAATTTATTATTGTTTATCATAAAATACACCATTTTTTTTAAACTGTTGAAATATCACTTGTAAGTTGTCCCATAATGATTCCACAGTATAATGAGCCTAGTATATAAGCTTAGTGAGCAACTCCTCTCATCACCAATTGCTCTTGAGATGGAACATCATTACAGCGCACATAGGCTCACCCACTTATGGTGTGCTTACCTTGTGGGACCGCACCCTCTTCCCCCGATTAAATAAATATAATATAAATAATGAAATGAAAATTATATAATACAATATAAATAATGAAATGAAAATTATATTATACTACCTTCCTAGTTAAATTAAAATATCAAAGTAACAACTACTACTAAACATTATCTAAGCTAATACGAAATGTGTTGATCGATCCATGAACTTTAATTCACTTCCCTATCTAGAGTAATTAGATATTGATCCACGAGTTTTCATCAGCTTCCAATGACATGACTGCACCTCCTTCTTTCACCTCTTCCAGAGCACGCACGCCAATCATGGGCACTTGGAAGGCCAAACAAGCCACAAAACAGCAGGCACTCACTGTCATCTAATTGGGTACTCCAACAGCCAATGGAGAAGTCCAAAAAACACCTAGAAATCCTATATGGTCACATATTCAATAAATCTATAACATTCAACTACTTCATCCCGAAACGAACAAATATAAATGGCGAAATCCTCTGTAAGCATGAAGCTCCTCATCGACACCAAAGCCAAACGCGTCCTGTTCGCTGAGGCCGGCAAGGACTCGGTCGATTTTCTCTTCTACATACTCTCTTTGCCTGTGGCCAATATCATCAACCTGATGGGCAAACAAGGAATGGTTGGCTCGCTGGGGAATCTCTACGACAGCATAGAAAACCTGAACGAGTCCTACATGCAGCCCAACCAGACCAAAGACACACTTTTGAAACCCGCTTACCCATTCTCCAGTTTGAGTGTTCCTCTCCTGTCAACCAATGATAATGCACCTATGGATATGAAGATTTACACGTGTAAAGAATGTTATTGTTTTGCCAAGTTCCCTACCGCCATCTGTCCAGACTGCCACTCTAAGATGACAGTGTTAATGAAGTACGTGGCCCCACCTGTTGTGAAAAGTGTGTCGTCTGGTTTGGAAGGGGGGGTTTGTGAAGGGGGTGGTGATGTACATGGTGATGGATGATTTGGTCGTCATGCCCATGTCAACTCTTTCAAGCATCGCTTTGCTTAACAAGTTTCATTTGAAAGAAGTGGGGTCGTTGGAGGAGAAGGTGGTTGATTTTGGCATGGATGAGGTTAGTATATGTAATATATTATTGTCTAATTATTATTGACTAGCCTAATTGTTTGGAAAAATAATTTAGTAAGTAATTTTGTCTGGTTTACTGTAGGTTGTCAAGTTGTTGAAGGCTTCACTGGAGACCACGAATGTGCTCACGCATGTTTTCCTAGGCGGTTGAGTGGTGCATAAAGGTGCAGGCTTGGCTTGAGTGCTATTAGGAATTTTTATGCTCGCGTACTTTGTTATGGTTATTAATTTTAAAGTTCTCTCTTTTTTGGGGGTTTGTCTGATGTGCTTCCTTATGAGTTTTGAAGTTAGTTGATTTGAATCGAAACCCAGCACTAAATATTATCTTGTTTTGATAACAATATTGTCCAATTTTTTTGGTTTTTCTTTTTTTCAACTTCTCGTGTTTTGCGTTATGTTAAACGATCTAACCCTAGCAAGCTTCGAGCTAAACGATTCGGATTTAAATGGACTATCAATAAAGGGATCCAACCCTAACTCTTGCGGGTCTCGGGCTATACGGACTATTAAATTAATAATATTAATAATAATAATAATAATAATAATAATAATAATAATAATAATAATAATAATAATAATATATCAAAAATAAAAAAAAATATAAAAAAAAATTACACATGAACACAAGCCTATTTAATGATTGCATTCAATGACTATTTGGTATTTACCACTATATATACAACTACATTTCACATATGAACATACATTACAAACTCTTAAATGACAGATTTTTTCAGAAATGTTTAAATAATTATAAGATATATGTACATATATAATTTTAAAATTATAAGTTTGATAATAGTATCACATTTTAAAAAAATTGTCATCAGTAAAAATAAACATTATAGAAATTCAAGGTTGTCAGAACCGAACCGGACTAGCCGGTTCGACCAGCGACCGGACATAGTACCGGTCCGGTTTGAGTGTTTGAACCGCTCGGAGCAAGAATCGGCTTCGAACCGTTCAAACCGGTTCAAAACCGGTGAACAGGTACCGGTTCGGCCGGTCGGTTCTGAATTTTGAATATTGAATTCGTGGGCTTTGGCAGTTAGGCCCGTAAATTTGTTGTCTTAACCCAATTTATTCACTATCTTCAGATTTTTTATTTTTCCTTGCAAGTCCAATATTAAAAAAAATAAAAATAAATAATGAATTAAAAAAAAAAAATCAAACAAAAGAGTGAAAGACTCTTGTCAGGCACTCGTCACTCCTCCAAAATTTTGAAATAAAAAATCCCAAATACAAAATCCTAAATCTCTACATCTCTGCCTCCATCACCACTCACCGGCCCGCAACTCTGGTTAGTGTCCGTACGAAATTCGTCGTGCGGTCACATCTCCGTTCGTGAACACCTCTGCAACTTCGCCTTATTTCTTCCGATTGTGAACACTTCGCGACTCTGACCAGATTTTCTCCATTCGTGAACCATCTCTCCGACGATAAGTTGGTCGCGACAAGTTGTTCCTCTCAGCCGACATTTTTCTGCAACTCCCTGTTCGTTGTTCACTCGTCCGACTAGTGCACTGCCATTCGGCCCTGTTCGCTGTTCACTCATCCTCTCTATTGTTGTCGTATCGAGTAGCTCTCGTGGTCTGACCAGAACTCCGTCATAGGCTCTTCATCACAGGCTCACAGGTATGGAGGGTTCAAATAATGAAATGTTATCGACACAATCTAGCCGTGGAAAATCTGATCCTGCTTGAGAATTTGTCAGTTTAATTCGTGAGAATGGAAAGTCCACATACACTTGTTTGTTCTGTAAGAAACAATTCAAAGATGGGGGAAATCACCGAATGAAATGTCATTTAACTGGGAAGAAGAGAGAAATAGCTGCATGTAAGAAAGTGACGCACGATGTTAAATCTCGGATGGTAGCACACTTGGATGAAGTAAAGCAAAAAAAAAGATGATCCTAATTATGATGATTATGAGGAAGGGAGCACGGCAAATGCNAAGATGATCCTAATAATGATGATTATGAGGATGGGGCACATCAAATGCACCTGAAGAAGTGCGAGGAGTACCCGAGTCTACTCCGGCTACCGGTAAAGGGAAAGGAAAAGCAGTCGTTGGTCCTGTCGATAGATATTTTGCGTGGAGGACAACTCCAGGATCTCAGCTAGGCCTTAAAAGTGTGTTTGCGACCAAAGAGGCAGTGAAAAATGCTAACATGGCTCTTGCTTGATGGTTCTACGCCAATTGCATTCCATTTAATGCGACCTAATCTTGTTATTTTCAGCCAGCTTTAGATGCAATTGCTACCATTGGACCTGGATTTAAAGGTCCTTGATATAATGATGTTAAGGTGAACTTGTTGGGAGATTGCAAAAAAGAGTGTTAACTTCTAGTTGAAAGTTTTCGAAGCAGTTGGAAGAACTCTGGGTGCACACTTATGGCAGATGGATGGAGCGATCAGAGGCAAAGAACTCTGATAAACTTCCTGGTATATTGTCCCGCGGGTATGACATTCATTAAATCTGTTGATGCTTCAAACATGGTGAAAGATGCAAATAATCTGTTCTATTTGTTTGTTGATGTTATTGAATGGATTGAGCCTGCAAATATTGTGCACGTAGTGACTGATAATGCGGAAAATTATGTAGCAGCTGAAAGTTGATTCATGATAAGTATGAAAACATTTTTTGGTCCCCATGTGCAGCACATTGTTTGAATCTGATATTGGAAGATATCTCCTCATTACCTCATATAAGCCACCTCTATAATCTTATGGTATTTCTGTCTTGGCTTAGAAAAAGGTCTGGTTGAAAGGAGATAGTACGTCTAGGAGTTACTCGATTTGCTACAGTCTTTATTATATTAAAAAGCATTTGTGATCATAAAGTGGACTTGCAAGCTTTGGTGGTTGATAAACACTTTACTGGGCATAGATTAGCTAAAAGTGTTATGGAAAAATGGTTTGTGAAACTATATTGGATGCTAGATTTTGGCGAGAGTGTCAAATTGCGGTTAAGCTTGCAGGCCCTCTTATTAGACTATTGCGAATTGTTGATGCGGACGAAAACTGTCTTTGGGATATGTTTATGAAGGAATACAAAGGGGAAAGAATGGTATCAAACAGATGTGCAGAAAAAGAAAAAAGTGTGTACAAGCCTTACACTGGAATTATTAAGGCTCGATGGGATAAACACTTGCATCATTGTATCCATGCTGCAGCTTATTTTCTCCAATCCAACTTTCTTGTATGATGACAGTTTCAGTGAGAAACATAGAGTGTTGAATGGATTACTTGATATATTGGACATCAAGAGCCTATGTAATTATTAGATTAAAGCAATGAAAGAGATACAAATATATAGAGAGCGCAAGGACAGTTTCTCTAGGCATCTTGTTTAGAGGTTGCAAAATCACTTACATAGGGTAAAAATATTATTTATAATTGTTTAATTCTTTTTACGTACATATTGTATAATTCATTTATTTTTAATCAATTTTGTTCCTATTTTATTATTGCAGATGAATGGTAGAGGTTGTTTGGCGGGAGTGTTCTCATATTAAAGAATATTGCCATACGCATCTTGAGTCAAACTTCTCCATCATCAGGATGTGAACGAAACTGGAGGTTGTTTGATGTGATCTAAAGGAATAAACTGGAGCATCAAAGCTTTGTGATCATGTTTACATCATTTACAACTTGCGTTTGAAAGATAGGTAAGTTAATATTATTATTGATTAATTAGCATGTGCAATGTTTCTTTTGTTGGCATTTGTTGCATTTTAAACTTTTATAAATAAATTATAATTTGTACATTATAGGAAGCATCAAAAGAAAAGATCTTATGATCCAATTGATTATGAAAGCAATGAAAAGCTTGATTTTTGGGTGGTGGATGAAGATCCACAACCAGAATTTGATGAGGATGAAGTTGGAAACTTAATTTATGATGAACATTCCAATTGTTGGTAAGTTGTTTGCTTACAAAAAAAATTATATCATGATTTGGTATATTTATTTTGAGCACTTCATGTTAATCTATGTTCTTTTTTTTTTCCTTTTTTTTGGCATTTACGTGATCGCAATGAAGTAAACATGGACATAATATGCCCGATGCATCCAATTTGAACTCCGGTAATGGTGGAGATGATGGAAATGGGGATGATGATCTTCTTAGTTATGGTTATGCCGATGTTGGATTTGGAGGAGTTAGTGGAAATTATGATGATTCGTTCTAGTTGGTGAATTGTGTTGTTTTATAATGTTTTTTTAACTTTAACTACTCGAAGCTATTTCCTTTTTCCTTCGTTGTAATGTTGGATTGTGTGTATCTTGTTTTTTTGATGACTTTGTACTTTGTAGATTGTATTTGTAAATTGGATTGCCTTGCTTTAGGCATTCAGTTATTAATCTATTGTTTTAGTGAACTTAAATTAGTATTGCTTATGGTAAATTGTACTCAAAATATTGATTATTGAACTCTAATTTAGAAAAATGTCGTTATATGCTATAAAATTAATGATAAAAATATATAGAACTATATATATTGTACATATAAAATAAATAAATAAATTATATATTAATTAAACTGGTTCGACTACTGGTCCAACCAGTGAACCATTGAACTGGTAGTTTCACCGGTTCGGTTTTGAGAACCTTGAAATATTCAACTTCATCACTATATTGAATGCATAAAATAATATGGATAATGTAGTTTTAAAAATTGTTGTGTTGTTGTTAGCTAGCTCACCTCGACTCTTCCGACTAACAGTGTCGGCCGTCATGTCAGCTCTTCCTCAGGTAGCTAATCGTGCCAGCAGTCCTGAACGAGCTCAACTCAATTCCACTACCCAATCTTCACACTTAGAGATCTATGCGTGAAGTTTCTCCCATCAATATGTCTCTGATCACAACTTCAGATGTTCTTGCTACGTTCCGGTGTTCTAAGGAATAGATCGAGACGTCGTTGGTAAAATACAGCGACTAGACAATCCATGGTAGTCGTCAGTGCGTTGCTTAGCCTGAAACACAATACAATCACAGTGCTCTTGTCGGGTTCCAGTTGCCGTCTTTGACGCGTCGGCCCCTTGATCTTTAGCTACTGGTAGCCATATTTTGAGTCGATCTTCGAGGATACCTCAGTTACCTTCGGTTGATTGAACAGGTCCTAACTCCATGGTAGCGGCTGATCATTCCTC